ACTTCGTGACAATATGAATCACACATCTAAGTAAGAATGAGGGAGGAAGCCCATTTTAATATCAGATTTACTTTTAAATTAACTTCAGATGTCTTGGATAAAAATGTCTGTTATCCATTGTTGAAGAGCTAAGCAATTTTCTTAATCCTTTAAGATTTTTCTTTGTCGTGCACTTTTGTAAGAGCGTATATTTTTTTTTTAAGACTTTTGTCCAGTACCGTTCTTTGTTTTCACTAGATTAATTAGAATTATTATGTTTTATTATGGAAATTCCGTTTACAATAAAAAAAGCTTAATGTTCACTGAGCACAAATCTTTGTCATTTTAAATACCCCTACAACACCATCACAATCTATTCAGTGCCTTTGGAATGAACTATGACACAAACTGGAAGATTTTCGTGTTTAAAAAAAGGTTACGTTTAGTAAGGTTAATTAAACCTACTGATTTCGAAATATTATACTATTTTGATTTCAATAATAATTATATCGGCATGGCATTTACAAGAATGAAACTACGAAACCGTCTTCCATTATCCGATTTCATCGAGCGTCCGTTGCATACATTGTAGACGTGTGTACAGCTCTGAACCGGTTCAGGTCACATTTACTTGAACTGTTGAGTTGCAGCTCAACGCGACAACGTGATTTACCATAACCAGTAAACGAGTAACGAGCCAGCTGGTGAGTCGTCTGACAGACCAATTATAACATGAAGATACAAATTTAACTAATCTTCGAATCGATTCATTGACCTGCGTCGCACGATTTAGATCTGCAGGTCATTAGTTTGAGTTACTCGTGACTACATGGTGGCTTGGCTTGTCTCTGTGATTAGTGACTAAGCCACGGGACGAAGAGACTTAGTCACGCATATTGAATTGAATTAATTTTAATTAAAAATAATAAATAATCGTGATCAGATTATCTATATATGTAAAAGGATAATGGTTTCTATTGTGTGAGAAACACGTGCTAAATAGTGTAACTATTAATAGCCTAAACATCACTGTATCGACCTTGGCATGTACTTAGGAAATTATCTTTCGAACTCCATTGATTTATTCAAGCCGATTGCCATGGTAACTTTACCTTTAACTATTCTTTAACAAATGCTATCTAATACAACTTATTGGATGCGAAATTAAATTGTAAAGATTTTCAGGGGAATTAAATAACAGAAGCGAGCTGCGAGAACAGTTTGTTTTATAATATAAAGATGAAATACTATTAGTGTAGCGTATATAAATGTAAAGGCTTAATCTATAGTGAATCCATTTATTTTTTTTTCAGAGGGAATTGCTTCATGCATACTAGTAGTTATGTGGGATTCTCCTCCATAGCGGAGGCATACCCACTAAACCCCTCTGTTCCTCCAACGCATCGGGACGGGACCACGGGCACGCTTTCGCCCTCGTCCGCGGCCCCGTCTGCGCCAGCTGCCGAGGCAACTCCCTCACGGGGTAATCAATAGTGAATCGTAGGGCTTAAAAACAAAATCTAAATGTTACCATATTTAATTTTATTACTATAAGGATGCTATGCAGTTGTTATAAATATATATTTTTTAATTATAAACATTTTCTACGTATTTGAAATAACCTAAAATTTACCAAGTTAACGATGGCAAATGTTCGATTAACAAAGATACACTTTTCGTAATTTTACCATAACCAATAAATCTTAGGTTTTACCGCAACTCGTGATTTTACAATATCTTACTAATATTATAAATGGGAATGTATGGATGGATGTATATAGAAGGTATCTCCAATACGCCAATTAGCATATATGTAGAAAGTAATCGGGAAGAACGCATATGCTACTAATTAAGTTTTTTTAATACCGCGCGGACAGAATCGCGGGCGACAGCTAACGCACAGATGACATAACATATAGGTACATGAAACTAATCATTAAAAAGCTAATGTAAAATCATTATTCTTTCGCTAAACGTGACTATGCTAATTTTATCAAACTATATATTCTATTGAGGGTATATAAAACGATATACGAGACTGCGTAAAGACAACATATTCCAATTGTAACGTTACAATCATGTTGCGAAGATCCTTATTCATGTGCACCAGAAATTATGCTAATCAGTAAGTAAATTTTTATAATCTATGTCAAATATAATTGTAATTTAAATTATTATATTTTTTAAATACTTAAAAACAAAGGAGTTCTTACTTTAATTAAAATGTTAGGCTATTCGTACAATAAGCAATATTCTTGATGGCGGACATTGTTTACGTGTTTAGTCTAATATAAATTATATTTTACCTGTACAAGGCTATAATCACAGACAAGATAATAAACTTTCAAAATAAATGACATTTCTCATTTCCATTGAATTTGACTAAAGTCGCTACGACTGTATACCGAATAGTCGACTTATGTTGACGATTCAACGTAGTGCGATGAAGCGTGCGCAATACGATCCCTACATAAAGATACGAGTATTGTTCCGCTGTATCGCAACTATATTAGTTTCAAACATGTACGTTGCCTTCTGTACGAATGGCTAGAATATCGTAAAGCAAACTGTCATTATAAGAGATTTATTTAGCACGCAATGAATGCATCTAATTTCAAGGACATTGCGATAAATTTACGTTCTAGACTCTACCTTATATTTTACATTTTTTGTTGTGGATTACAATGAATTACATATTTTATAAACTTTTAGAGCAGCTATTCAAAAGAAACAAAGCCCTTTGATGAAAAGGATTATAAATGAGTTCGACAATTACGTTCCAAAAGTAATTGATGAAAGCTTAGCGAAGGTGACCTTTTCGCCGGAGGTAAAAGACAGAATTAAAAAGGTAAGCAATACTTATTAGTTGATAATAGTTGAGGAGAAAGAGATAAACATGTAAGCGGTTCATCTTAATACGTCATCCTTAGTTGCTAATCTACAACGGGAAGACGAAGAAAAAGGAAAATGAACCATAGACAGAACAATTCTGACGACCTATTTCTGTAAGGTTCCTATATTAAGAGTACACAACATAGAAAAAACAAGTCAGAGGAGTACATCTCTTGGTGGATTCTATGGAATTAAAAATAAACTTCTTTGGCCGTCCCTTTCCATTATTCCATTGGTATACCAAGGAAGATACGACTCAAACATGTCATATATAGTCAAACCCTATAACTAACCAATCATAATGAATAATAACAATCACATTTAAATACTCGCTGAAAGCATTAACTGTCAGTCGGACAAAGTACGTTATTAAAATATAAACAACATTTCCAGGCATCAGAATATTACACAGTTGGAAGAAATCCAGTGCAAGGTGAATTCATGTTGTTGGCTTTCGAATCAATGAATCAGGATTTGAAGATAACGGATGAGTTGATACATCAACTAGAAGTGGTTGTTGCAACCGTCGAGATGGTTAGTAATACAATATAGTTATAGACCGACAAGGATAACAGGTGGGTTAGACAAAGTACTTTCGCTTCGAAGCGATTCCATAACGACCTTCAACATTGTATATAACGCGCGACAATCACGTGACTTATCGAATTTTATTGTCAGTTCTATACATTTTTGAAGATCGTTATGGAATCGCTTCTTAGCGAATGCACGTTGTTTAAATCTACTGACCCGGTGGCCACAAGTCAAACTAAATATGACAGCTCACTAGCGCCCTCATGTGAATTCCAAAAAAGTGTTACAAGTTCCCATTCGTACTGTAGTGTTATTTAAAAAAAATGTGTTACATGAAATCGTAATTCGTAAGTTAAGTTCGTAATTATCCGTAATTTTATAAAAACACTAAGGGATATTAAGCTAACGATGTTCACATGATAATTTTGTTTTTATCATGTTGAATTATTCTGCAATACCAGAAATATTATAATATAAGAAGAGAATTTTATTATTATACTTTCGATTGTATTCTTTTTTTTAAGTTCTCTTTTTTCTTATTTTTTTTAAATCGGTGTTCCATTTTCTTTTTTTTTTAGGTACAGTCGTATTTCTTCTTTTGGGACGACTTAGAAGACGAAGCTAAAACCCGTCTAAACAAACCTTGTTGGCATTTGATAGATAACATCGGTATGATGGCTTTTAATGATGCCTGTATCCTGAGAACTTTTATCGATGAGGTGGTAAGACAAAACTTTAACTTGGAAATGCGTGACAAAATCCTGAATGTTTATCATCAAGTAAGTATATACAATACTATAAAATATAAAAAAGTAGCCTCCTACAACTTAAAACTGTCATCATTTGACTGTTCTGACTTTGCCGATTACTCCGCCCACTAACACCGACCGCTTACAATGTGTGCTTACACCGTCTGCTTAGTACCGTCAGCTCACCCGTGACGTTATTAATTATCGGCAAAGCTTTTGCATACGGGTAATACGATAGATACTGTTTATTTGATTTGACTCGTCGAAAACTATAGTATTCTTGTGCCCAACATGTAAACTCAAGTGCCGGGTATTTCATCATCAGCTCACTATAAGTCCCCACCGAGGGGCTCGGAGCCTACCCTAAGTTGAGGGAGTCTATGTGCATTCTTTTTTTAAATTCAACCTTTTGTTTTTCAGGTATATTTTAACGCCTCCGTGGGTCAACATTTAGACGCTGAAATAGCAAGATCCAAAAACTTTGACAATTATACAATAGAAAAATATAATACGATTAATACATGGAAATCATCGTTCTATGCAATCAAGTCACCACTTCTGTTGGCACTAACTCTTAGTAAGAAATTGAATAATGAGTCTATTGATATTGTTGAAAATATAGCTTTCGATATTGGTATATTAATTCAATGTCATGTAAGTACCCAGTTTTATACAAACAAATATCTTACTAATATGTGAAACTTTAGATGGATGGATGTTTGTTAAAATCGCCGGTACGGCACAACGGATCTTGGTGAAATATGGCTTGGATGTAGAACATAGTCTGGAAGAACACATAGGCGGCTAATTAAGATTTTATTTAATTTCACGGGGATGGAATCGCGCGCGACCAGTTATTTCATCATCATCATCAGATCACTATACGTCTCCGCCGAGGGGCTCAGAGCCTACCCTAACTTAAGGGTGATTAGGCCATAGTCAACCACGCTGGTCAAGTCAACTTCATACATATCTTTAAATTTCTTCTCAGATATGTGCAGGTTGCATCACGATGTTTTCCTTCACCGTAAGAACGTCGGATAAATGTACATATGCAAATCGGAAATCGAAAAACACATTGGTACATGGCGGAATTCGAACCCAAGACCTGCGAATTGCAAATCAAGTGCTTGATCCCTGAGCCATCGACTCTCTCAGTTTCAACAGACCAGTTATTTAATATTATTAAACTTATATTGCACTTATATTAGAATTAGAAAACAACTAAATAATTCCCTCTATCTATTTACAGAACGATTTGATTGATTACTTCAATACTAAAGGTAAAGTCACCGGAAAAACTGGATCAGACATTCAGATGGGCAAATGCTCATGGGTGGCTGCCGCGGTTCTAGAGAACTGTAGTGCAGCTCAGCGGCGCATCTTCACAGAAAACTACGGCAGTTCGGATCCAGAAAAAGTTAATCGTATTCTTCAATTATACGAAGAGGTAGACGTTGAAAATCTTTACAAACAAGAGGAACAGAAACGATTCGCATTATTTAATAAAAAAGTAACAGAGTTGCCAAAGAACTCCGCACTTTCTGCGGAATTCTATAAGACTTTCTATAATTTGGTTAATTATTATACCCAAGACGTTTTAACTTTAATGTACGACAAATATTAAATTTTATTCATATAAAATTATAGTTCGTCTCAAAATGGTTAATGCTTTTATAATTATCTACGTTCAGTTAAAAATTTCTACTATCTGTTGTTATGTTGTATCCTGAATTATATAATTATGTTTAAATTGCTTTAATTGTATTTAATTATCACTTAATTGTTATCATTTAATTGTTTTTTGTATTATCACAAGTTCCTTTTAACCAATTATTTCCTTTACAACACAATATAAGGTCGATGCGATGACCTTGCAGAATACAATGAGATAAATCAATATATTCTTGCTCGATTCTCCAAATGTGTGAACTTTGACTTCACAGCTCGTTAGTCTTTTAGTAGTAGAAAACACCATTAAACCCTTACGGACGGACGTAAAATTTTAATCTTTAAATACATTTTTAGAAATGGAAGAAGGGAATACATGAAAGATAAATCAACGTCTTCTGAAGACGGATTGAGTTGCACACATTGGCGTAATGTGTGCTTGGGAAGCAGGAAGCGATCTCTTAGGCTTTTATAGGAAATGGCGAAACGTAATACGGCCTATCAGATTTTACGAAAGCTTCAGTTAGCGCACAAACCTACCTATAAATAATTTAAGCATTATAAAAGAAATAAAACATCTTATTTGATAGATTTTGTTACCTAGTAAATAGTTTAAAAAAATCTGCCTAAAAGGAACAAAGATAGAAAATCTTCTTATACTGACTGATATAAAAACGGCTAAACACTTTTTATATCAGTTTAGTATAATGTCTCATGAAAGTTTCAATAATTTAATCCTCTTATAATTGAAAAAAGAACGCTTTTTTGGATTTTTACATAGATAATAACTAAACCACAAAATAAATACCGTTTTTTTAGTCTTAAAGGACGAAGTCAGGGACAACGGTGTGTTATTTTTATCCAATCAAAATCAGTTGGGTTACGATTTTCATAAGTGGGTTACTTTTTACTTTCATTTGATTTGCTTTTCGTGTTACATTACACGTAAAAGCTTCTAAAAATGTTTCCCGTCGTACAAATATCACGTCAACAACTGCTATTAAGAAGACGGAAGAGATAACATTTCGTTATATCTTGTAACATTTTGTTCGTTAAATGATATTTTTCCCTACAGCTCCAATAACCTATTTAAGGGACGGGCGCTACTTTACTTCATCTGTAGTACTTTTCTTTCACTCTTAATATAAAGTGTGTTTACCGTTGGTTTCTGAGACCAAAAGCTCTGTAAAACATATCGTTATTCCTTTCATTATCTTTGATACAAAAGAGATCACAATGTATTTTAAATGGGAATTATGGCCTCAGAAACATACTGTTAACACAACGTGTTACAAATAATAATACCGTTAAAGTACTCAGAGCTAAAAAATTATCGATTAAAATATGATCGTAGATATCAATCATACTTTTGTCATCCATGTTGGAAGTTTGTAGATGTTCTAATTTAAAAACTGTTTCGTTTGCCATTCATTTTACTCAGCACCTGTATTTGTCGTTCGTCTACAAAGCGACTGTAAACTAAAGCACAAAGGGGTCTTAAAATCGATGACGTGAGTTAGTTTGCGTCGTCCACACTCCACAGAAACTTTGTGCATCCTTGCTAGAGCGAACCTGAATTATTTACCATGTGAAATTCATAATCTGTGTTTGTATTTTATTCAATAGTACATAGTTATTCAAACTTTCGTAAGACATTATACTAAACTGATATAAAAACGGCTAAACACTCACGTACATTCGTCCGGTGGCGGCACCGTCTAGTTTCGAGCCCATCGGGGGCCCTTCATCAGGATGAGTGGTACTGATATTATTTTGCGGACGCGTGTTTAATTGTACACAGGCTTCATTTGTACGATATAAGCTGTTGCACGTTATTAAAAAAACATAATTATTAGCCCATGTGTTCTTCCAGACTATGTTCTACATCAATGCCAAGTGTCAGCGAGATCCGTTTATATGGGAAAAACAAAACAGCTGTTTTTAGGGTTTTCCAGACAATTACTCGAATTTTTCTCCCATATTAAACCTTCCCTAGATCTCCACGAACTTTTCAAGACCAAGATAAGATAAATCTGTTCAGCCGTACTCGAGTTTTAGTGAAACTAACGAACAGCAATTGATTTTTTTATATATGGATAAAGATAGACGATTTTTAAACGGTTTCATTTAACTTGCTCTTTGTCTAATTGTAATTAATTTTTAGATAATAGTAATTCATTATATTCACATGTTGATAGATTGTTCAAATACAGATCGTTACCTTTGATAAGACTGCAATATAAAGTTTATGGAACGCCTTATTTTTTAATGTACAGTCAGCGTCATATAGATCGTCACAGACAAGATATGCAAATATATAGGTACATCAAAAGTAATCAATTATATCGGTACAACAAAAGTCCTCAAAATAATAGATACTTTCACCCTGCTCAAATACATCGGTACATACACAGCGTCAAATATATGAGTACATGCAAGATGCTCATAAATATCGTAGCAGCCACAGCGTCATAAGTAACGAAGCAGTCAAGGTGCGCAAAAATATCGGTACATTTGACAAAATTGAACTCTATCTCTATATACTTGTGATACAATTTGGAATAAACTACTTCTGTTACATTCATTTGACCCTTTGTATTAACATTATAGGTTGTCCGGAAAGTTCGTTCTGATTTTCGATATAAAGCTTACAATAGACTGTAGCTGAAGTGGATTCATTTTCGGATTTCCACCATTATCAAACGTCACAAAAATTTCTATATTGTGAATAATTTCATTTCATTGGTTGAGATAAAAACTAGTTTTTAAAATTTTAGCCAAAAATAAAAGACGTTTTAGGTATAGAGTCGTTCCAATATAATTTAAAAACATTTCCAAAAATTTAAGAGAACAGGGTTTCAATTTTCCTTATAAAGCGGCACGAACTTACTGGGCAACCCAATATTTTTCTTCTCCTGTCATAAAGCTTAAATATATTATAAAAGTTTGTCACGCCGAATATGACAGATACGTAATAACTAATATCAAATTTTGCCTTGTCACAATATATACTAGTTTGGCGCAGTATTCTAGTATGTTTGCCGTAATATGTAAGTTTACCGGTTCAAATCTCAGGCTACTTTTTTTTCATTTTATCAATCACGGGGTTATTTTTTCATAACCAGTAAAAATTTGGTAATGTAAAATTTTGCTCGACAATTTTTTTTTATAATTTTCGCTGTCGGGTAGAAAGAAATTTAAATAAAGTTAACAACAAAATTTAAACAAAAGGTTTTAAGAATGGTACGCGCGGAAACTATACGTACAAGTGTTATCTACATATGTGTGCGCGCCCACGCACACTGGAATGTTTATTGCAATCGACCAAAAATTTGATGTAGTTTGGATATTGACATTCAGTTTTTTTTCTTTGTTTCTTAAATATAATCAGTATCAGTAAAAGGTAAAAGTAAAAGTGTTATTTTTACCGGTACAAGTTTAACAAACATGAGTAATAAACAAATTACATGTCAATAGCATCGCTTTATCTCCTTCATTTTTGTTTGAAATAGAAAAGTACTTTAACGGTCAAACTCAGTCCAAGGCAATATCAAAAAGTACCTAATAACTACGGCGATAGAGTTTAATTACATGTGCTTCGATATTAAAATTAAAAAGTTAAAATACCAAAAAAAAAATAGTTGCTTGGGATTTGAACCGCCGAACTTACGTACCAACGGCGGCGAACGGTAAGGCCACGAGACCAAACTAGCATATATGATGACAAACTTAAATTTGATGTTGGTTTTATCTACCTAATATCTGTCATCCGCGTCGAACACTTTTAGTAAATTTTGAAAAATGGTTTGATGCAAAGTGTCAAATGAATGTAACAGAAGTAGTTTATTCCAAATTGTATCACAAGTATATAGAGATAGAGTTCAATTTTGTCAAATGTACCGATATTTTTGCGCACCTTGACTGCTTCGTTACTTATGACGCTGTGGCTGCTACGATATTTATGAGCATCTTGCATGTACTCATATATTTGACGCTGTGTATGTACCGATGTATTTGAGCAGGGTGAATGTATCTATTATTTTGAGGACTTTTGTTGTACCGATATAATTGATTACTTTTGATGTACCTATATATTTGCATATCTTGTCTGTTACGATCTATATGACGCTGACTGTACATATTCCCAACTAATGTAAATTAATAACATAATAATCTTTTTTTGTCGGATATTCATTTTTAAGTTCCATTAAATAAGAAAACATTAACATTATCATACTAATTACTAATATTATAAATGCGAATGTTTACATGGATGGATGTTTGTTTGAAGGTATCTCCAGAACGGCTGAAAGGATCTTAATAATAAAATTTGACATACAAATAGAGTATAGTCTGGAAGAACACATATGCTAATAAATATGTTTTGATAAATATATGACGGAGTCGCAGGCGACCAATAGTATATATTGTGAACATAATAGGTATTTAGTTAATAGGCATTTAGTTACGATCATTTAAGCATAAATAAATTAACCAATTACTAGTTAATTACATAACTATGCTAAGTAAACATTCTTCGAATGAGTGCATAGATTACGTATTTCTTTATTATGTTGTCGATGAGTCGAGTTTTAAGTCAAATTTTAATTTGAATTTAAAAAAGGTTTTTATGTAAAATGTAATATGCTTCTACGTTTCTCTACAATGGAAAAAAAAAGTATTTCGATTTTCTTAAAGGTTCAAAGGACAATTTCATAACGTTTATCCTCTTATGAATTTCTTATGTAAATTTCATTACTGCGTAGAAATTGAATAGCGATGTCAGCTATCAAATTATTCTGAATTTGTTAAAGAAACAGTGTTTTTTAACGTTGAACGAATTCTTCTAAATTTATTTAAAATATTTTTAAGTACAAGCTATCGCCCGCGACTCCGTCCGCACGAGATTTAGAAATAGGTAGCCTCAGACCTATTACATGTATATGCATATAAAATGTCATAAATATTGTTCAAGTTTCCAAGGAGTATGGTAACTAACATTGGAATACGAGAATTTTATAAATAAGACTAGCTGTCGCCCGAGACTCTGTATTACGAAAACTTTATTAGCAGCCTATCTGTTCTTCCAGACTATGTTCTAAATACATGCATCATCATCATCGAGATCTGTTCAGCCGTTCTGGTATCTAAGATATAACCTTCAAAGAAACATTCATCCATCCATCTAAACATTCGCATTTATTTATTTTTTTGGGCGGCGCTATGCCGCCCTTTCGTTCCCCTAACATAGTCAAGGTCAGGAACCTGGAGTGCGAGATATTCTTTATTTCTTTATTATAAACAAAAACCAATTACATAGGACTTAAACTAATATCACATTCTTTATAATATTAGTAAGATACAGTTGTTTTATTTATTCTATTCGTTCAAAAATTTGGTTCAATCCCGGATTTAATGAAAACGTCTGTGAAATTACGGTCGATATTACATAGAGTTGTGTTCTGAAGTTAATCTCCATACTAACCACTGCTATTATGGATGATTGCTTTGTTATTGTTTCTCATAAACGTTCGAGCGCCATCTTCATTTCTATATCAACAACTCCAAGTGCTATCAAAGAGAATATTCTCCACAAGCTGTCGCCCGCGACTCCGTTCGCGGGAAATTAAAAAAACATGATCAGTAGCCTATGTGTTCTTCCAGACTATGTTCTATATGTATGCCAAATTCCATCGAGATCCGTTCAGCCGTTTTGGAGATACCTTCAACCAAACATAAATCGATCGATTCATCCATCTAAATATTCGTAACAAGTAAGAAGTAATATTATGTAGTTAATGTATTATATAACTTGACCAGGAATATAAAAACCTCTGCATATGACAGAAAAATATGAAACTAAACTTTGCACAATTGATTTCTAAATCATATGACCTAAACAACTCACGAATATTCACAAAGCGACTACCGTGGGTTCGTGAGACCTAAATATCCGTTTAAAACATACAATCTCTGTGTTGTCAAAGGTAATGATATATTTTATTCAGAGAATTTGGTCTCGGAAACCCACAATGTGTATGTAATACGAATATATCAGTCCGAATGCGTCATAACAAATTAATTTATAACAGACTTAGCTAAGTAATTTGTATCAACTTTAGTTTGCATACGGAACAAATAGTTTGAAGTAGGGACAACTAATGAGATTGATTCACTTGGCGAAGTAACTAATTGACCTAAATTCTCACAGAAGCTTCCTCGTTGCTGTTCTACTCGTACTAATTTTAATAGGAACTCGGGTTTCGATTGGCGTGACACTTTTATCTTTGTATCGACACATTTTTTGTCTTTGTTTATTTCAAAGAGACTGTACGGAATGACAATATGGATTGCTGATCAGAGCAATGTTTTCGGTAACAATTTTCTTTACCTTAATCTTAGTTTATTCCTCAAACATATTTTAGTTATATGCCGTCAAGTTGAACGCCTGTCTTATCTGCAAACTGGCATCCGACAAAGTCGAAGAAACATTTGTGGTAATTTATCAGTGACACGAGTTGTTTTCTTCTCGTATTTGTAACGACAGACATAAAACTTTTCTTAAAAACGTCTATAACAGGAAAAACATTATGCGAAAACAATTTGAATACACACAAAAATATAGCCTATGGATTGGGTTGATTTTCATCAATCTTACTAATATTATAAATGAGAATGTTTAGATGGATGCAAGGATATTTGTTTGAAGGTAGAAGGCTCAAGCGATTTTGTCTGGAAAAACACATAAGCTAGTACGTTGATAAATAAAATAGTATTCGTACATGGATATTCAATTATAAATGTTATTTTACAATTTGAATCAAAGATCAAGTTTTCTTCATTTTTCATTTCTGCTCCGTTGAAAATATATTCTGACAGGAAAAGTATGTTACGTGATTTATGACTGGCATAACATACGAGACTTTGGAAAATGTTTTCTTCGTTACTTAGAAATATTTTACGTAACTATGTAAATAATTCCTGCTCCCTTCACTAAATCAACATTCTGGATGCGCCCCTGTATAAATTGTTATCTAACCGTGAAATTATTGTCACTGGCAATATGATTTTATACAATAGCTTCGACAACCAAAACCCGCAGTAATAATTCCATTTAAAGTGCTATGAATTAAGCGCATAATCTTCACGCATATTTATTCAATGGTTCTCGTTTAGCATTCGTATGCGTCGCGAGCCTGAAACAAACAAAACGTCAGGCAAACGTGAGGCAGTACAAATATTTGACATACACACAACAAAATGACATCACAGAGCGATGACGTCAACAGTCGGCCGATTGTAGCGAGCTTACAAATTAAGCCCTCTCTTTTTGTGAACAGGAATAATTGAGTCAGATATTTTTTTTTGTGCTCACATAAAAATGTGTAATATTTTGTACTGTGAAAGTGTTTTAGGATAAATAAAATTAAAGATACATTGTTAGCTGTCATCTTTATCCACAAAAAGTAATATACTAAATTTTTCATTTATGACCACGCTGTCAATCCATTTCTTGATAGTGCGTAAAATGGCAGTGCCTTAGATATGGGATAAACTTTGGAATTCAGAAAGAATATGAACTAGTATTATTTAAAAGATATATGAACCTTCATATTAAGTCGCCTCTGTAGTCTCTGCAACGAATGGTACACAAAAATAAAAATAAATAAGGCAACATGAGAATTTAATGTGCATAGACAGACTACACAGCTTAGGTACAATGAAAAGAGTCACCGAACCGTAACAAGCTTACGTTTACAAGCCCCTTGTCTACAAGCATTAAAATTAAAACTTAACTAGCGTCGTAAAATACAATGCGAACGCGAAGCGCGAATAGCCTAGTGGTTAAGGGTTTTTCGTACACAAGGTCGAGGATTCGAATTATCGACATTCGACTATTGTAGCCTAACCCAAGCCAGTTTAGTTTGGGTAAAAAATATTAGTGAATTAACCAAAATCTCCTAATATTTAAAAAAAACAATAAATAAAATGCAGTTTATACCAAAAAATAATTCGTTAGTAATATAGTTAGTACTGAGAATTGAATGAAACGGTATTTTTATTTCGTAAAGGTATCGTATGTCCAATTACGTATTTCATGTTGACATGTGTATAATTCGATGCGATGTTTTTGCTAACAATGTATTACATTACATTATTAGTTAATGTCGAATTAAAAAATAACATTACTTATTTCCAACTATTTGACTATATTCTTCATTAGAGTATTGTTAACTCGCTCACTACACAAAATGTAGAGTATTTTTAAAAATATATTATGTATTTAAATTAATGGATTCTTCGTATTATGGTCAATGGATAAAAATATAGTGCTCGAATCGGAATTAAATAAAGGTGATAAAAGACAAAAAAATTATATCTGTACAAATTAATAAACTTGTCTGTATGTAACATCGATCCCTTTATCTTTTTTCTTCTTTTTCCGGGGGAGACGGCGCTAGTGATCTGGGATTGTGTTAGGAAGCATGTGGTATGCTTCCTAACACAACCAAACCCCTCTTTTCCTTCTACGAATAGTGGCGAGGCCACAGTTGCGCTTTCTTCTGCGACCTCGCCGGTGTCAGCTGTCGAGACAGGGCGTTAGGGTGGGGGAGGTCTAATTTCAACCTCAAGTAAACGGATCCCCAAGTATCCGGTGCCCTAAAGGAACCGATTTTACCTGGACTTAGACGGGGTCGTATCTGATTCATGAGAGTATATTACAGGCTACTTTTTCAATAATTCTACGTTGACGAAGTCGCGGGCAGCCTGTAGTCTTCTTATCTTCTATCTATCTTCTATATATGTATATAAAAATCAATTGCTGTTCGTTAATCTCGTTGAAACTCGAGAACGGCTGAACGGATTTATCTTATCTTGGACTTGAAATGTTCGCGGAGGTCTACGGAAGGTTTAAAAGGTGAGAAAAATTTGAGTAATTCCCGGGAACTAATTACTCAAATTCTTTTTCATTCCACGCGGACGGAGATACGAGCGACGGGTAGTACTTAATAAAATCGTGTAAACTAGCATTCACAAAAAAATCAAGTCTGACAAATATTTCTCAAGTGCACGAAATACATATAAAAATAGAGTTTGGAAACATATTATGTTAAGCATTTGAAAAAAAGCCAGGAACGTGTACATACGTCGTCGCTATGAAAAATTCAATTTGTTTAAACAACAAAGGAAACAAAATAAGCTTATGAGCGTTATCTTCGTATCCCAGCATTGTGTTTAGGCAGAAAATTTAATCCAATCCCGTTTCTCGTGTATTTTCTAGAGAGTCCGTTCTCGCGGGAAGAATGAAAAATACACATTACGTAAGGTTTTATTCATAGTACAATTTGAGTTACACTCTCCCAGAGCCGACGTTTTTTTGCTTAATATTTACTTAATGTTATGTCTATTGCCTTTCTTCCGAACGCTCTCAACAAGAAAGAAGAGATCTCTTGAAGAAAATTAACATAAAATTTTCTTTCATTTTGCTTCTGAACATTTGCTTGTTCAAAAAAAATGCCGCGCCTGTTGATATTAAATTGCAAAAGTGCGAGTAAACATGTTTTCCCTTTAAAAATTTAGTACTGCAGTTATTAAAATCATTACCGCCCATAAAACAAAAAACATACATATGACATTTATATAGTTTTTTCTAATACTACGGTATTATGACAAAATGCAGATAAGTTAAAACTCAATAAAAAAAAATTGTCGGTATTTTTAAAGGGTTCCCGTAACAAGTAAAAGGAAATCAATTTAAAAATACCCAACCCTTCATTTGGTTCAGAGTTTTCTGAATCGCTTACCCTGTGCCGACGAAAATAATTACATCAGTACATTTAAAATATTAAATGCAAGCGAAACTGAATTTTAATTAAAATTTGTTGAAAGCATTTCCTTTTCGTATTCTACATAATACATAAAACGATAATTTCACTAATACCTAGAACTGAAATTAATATTCATATCTGAAACATGATACATTTTTATTACAACCAAACTCATTCCAGTAACCCATTAGGTAAGCAGACTATGGATTTCAATATTTCGGGATCCTGGCACACCTGTCTTAACTCTTTTACATTCATACATGCAAACATTTACTACAGTTGTTGATTCTCTAAATTTCCTTATATAGTAAATATGTTCATACATGTAGCTATCTCATCACGCATCGTCTTGAAATAAATCTTCCTTTAATTTGTCCCAAAAGTTAATCCGTTTTTGTTCAGGCAAGTTTACCATTTTGAAAGTTTTACCCATACTTAGAACCCTTATTGTTTGGTTAACGCGTAGAGGCTCCCAAATCAATCCTTCTTGTGTATTATCTTTAATTTTTGGTGTAGGTTTTCTGAAATATGAAAGAAATGAACTTATTAGTAATGATTATACACGTATAAGATAAATACAAACTTTCGCAAAACACGAAGACATAAAAATTTAAATCTTACTAATATTATAAATGCGAATGTTTAGATGGATGTTCGTTTGAAGGTATCTTTAAATAACTGAACGGATTTTGATGATTGCACATATGTAGAACATATTCTGGAAGAACCTATAGGCTACTAATTATGTTTCTTCTTTTTATTGCGCGCGGATTGAGTCGAAGGCGGCAGCTAGTATTAGATAATATTAAAAACTCATCTTACCCAAATTTAATAAAATTTGTTAAAAGTTTTGTCATTTTTTTTATAAATCGTTTTTCAATTACAGCTTCCGGGCTATCGTATTCATCAACCAAAGATTTGCATTTGAATTGATAACAAATTTCATCTCCGGCTGTAGCACCTGACCAGTTTAATTTTGGTAGAGACGTCCATTTAATATTAAAGCAACCATTAAAAGAAAATCTATATAAATATACATCTTTTGAATGTGTGCTTTGTAGCCGAGCTTGTCGGATTAGAGGATAAACAACTTGGTCGGTATGATACTTGACATAACGTCTTAAACTATGGTCTGTTATTGTACTATTAATAAAATAAAAATCCTTTATTCGCTTCAGTATATTTTTATATCTCTTTGAATCATACTCATCTGCACCTCCAAAGAATGGTAAGAGGTATTGAAAATTAAAATTCAAATATTTCAAAAGTATTCTTCTTTTAATAAAATCTTTTAATTTTAATAATGCATCATAATTACAATATCCAAAAATGACATCTACGTCATAATTTGCTAATTTACTTTTATATACGCCCAAGGGATGTTCGTTAATAAAAGAGTTCTTTTTATCTTTTTCAACAGTACACCCAAATGCCCTTGTTAGTCGTTGCCTGTCTCTTATTTCGGTGCTATCGAAAAGGTCATGAGATATTGCCATCAATATTTCGACAGGCGCTGTGCTGAGAAACCCATAAAGATTTTCTTTGTTAATTTTGTTTGAATTCCCATACAATCGTTGGTGCAATTTATTGATAACTTTAAGATTATGATTCCCATAATCTACTGGTGACAGAGCACTACCACCATGAATTATGACTCTTTTAAATAGATCTTCAGCAGCACTAGACACCAACAGAAACGATACAACATAAGCTCCATCACCTGATCCAATTACTGTAACTTTATTTAAATCACCATTAAATAAATATATATTTGACCTTATCCATTTTAAGCACACCACTACATCTTTAGCTCCCATGTTTCCTTTAGAAAATTCATCATCGGTATTCAAAAAACCCAATATTGATGTCCGAAAATTTACTATAACTACTAAAATATCTTCTTCAATTAAAAAATCTGGTCCGTGGGCATAAGAGCCTTCATAAACCCACACGGCAATTGAAAAACTTTTATTCTTTTCATTGGAAATTGGCATATACACAGACAAAGTTAAATCTTCATTTAGTAGAGCACTTGAGGCAATATACTCTTTACTAAAATCGTATATACCACCTTTATATATTATATGAGGTCCTTTTGGAGCCTATAAAATAAATCTTCAATTTTAATTAAAAATAACAAATATCCCTCAACTGCCTGGTAAGTCAAAATACAAATTTTTGACTCTATAGAAGATATATACAATTTAAATATTAAAGAAGAAAACAAAGTAAGCTAGTAAAAGATAAAAACAACAATCAAAAACGCTTAGATTTTTATACATTTTCATTCTTTAGTCTAAAGTATTCGCTTTTAATTGAATAGTGCACGAACAAACTAAGCCTGAACCCTACAGCGGACATTAATTAAATTGTTAATTGAAAACGTACGAACAACCTCATTATAATTTCTGGTTATTTTAAGCTTCAATATAAAGTGTATTAGATATTGAAACTATTCTATTCATACTGGCTTAATATTTAGTATTATTTCAATATTTACTAATGCTTGATTTAACGCAAAAACTTTATACTAAGCCAGGGAATATTGAAGTATATTTAGTATTAGGATTTCTCATTTCTCAAAATGTTAAACATTTGTATATAAAAATTGAAAGAATACGATATATAATCTACTGCAATTCAACACTAACCGTAGCTTTCTGAGACCAAACCCCGGTTTGAAACATATCGTTATCTCCGTTTTGTCAAAAATAATAACAAGGATGGCGAGATGTTTTATACAGAGATTTTGATTTCAGAAACCAACGGTTACAAGGGCAAAAAAAATCATTGCTTTTTAAAGTAAATGTTAAATATAGTAGTTATGTTACCTTAAATCTTAAATCAGCTAATGGAGGTGATGCGTAAGGAATATTGAGGAAAGCTGCATATGGAAGATTTTCGTAAATAGTAAATAATTTTCTTCCAATAATTAATGTATGATTAGTTACTAACTCATACAATGCTCCTTTGACACAAGTAGAAACGATTATCAAAAAAAAATAACACATTATAAGTAAAAATTACATAACACATTGTAGTAACCACTTTTTCTTCATTATTAATGGAAAATTTATATTACTTTAGAAACTTCTTGCTTAATATCTTTGAATGTGTTTTTAAAAATATTTTAAAAGCCATAAAATATTTTGTAAACATACTGGCCGTATAACGAATCAAAATGATAAGGACGTTTTAAAATTTACCTATTCATATGAGATCACGAAATAAAACTTATTTATACATCTATATATATTAAGAAAAGTACTATCTAACCAATCTATATATATATAAAAGAAAGTCCTGTTAGTTACACTATTAATAACTCAAGAACGGCTCTAGCGATATGGCTGAAAATTGGTGAGGAGATAGCTTAGAGCCAGGAGACGGACATACGATATTATTTATTCATTTTTTTTCAAATTTATGCCTTGAAGAACTTATTTAACTTATCTATATATTAAGTTTTTTTATATATCCACGCGGACGGGCACGGGCAACAGCTAGTTTTTAATAATTTTGTATATTTAACCGTACGTCTGTCCGCGAGGCCGCGTTTGTGCAAGATAATCGATTAGAACGGAACGGCTGGACCTGGACTGGAATGATTTTGACAGAACTTTAATGGAAAGGTTGCATGCACCCGGGCATTTTATATTCTGCTTCTTTAATTCTACGCTGATAGTCACGGGCGATCGCTAGTTTTAAATAAATATATGTAAACACCGATATTTCAAAACAACATTAGATTTTCATGAGAAGATTAACACGTTAGCTGCTATGTCGGGCTGTTTGCCCGACTACCTAATGTTTCAATCAGGCCGTGTCGGACTATGTGTCCGACAAGCCATACTTCCATTCAAGACCTCGCTGTGGCTTTTAATAGAATAATTTTTTAATCGAATTTTAATACAGCTTGACCCGCAATATGGCCCATTCAAATGGTTTTGGACCAAAAATTATTTTTTTTTTTTTCGTTTTTCGAAAAATCATTCTGGAAACTAACGTGTTAACATATAAACAAACATTAAAAAGCAATTTAATTTTTATACAATTGTATAAAACTGTTATTATAAAATAATTTTAAATATTATATTACAAAACAATGGACAAATCGTTCGTTCTGTATTGAACGTATCAGTCCATAAAGATTAAACAGAATTTGTTTATCTTATATTATCTTTAATGTAGTTCACAATAATACCTCATTTAATAAAAACGTGTCATGGTATAATATGGAGTTTAAATTATTTATGTGTTTTACATATATATCTTTTATATTAATTATATTTGTAAATGCAGATGAGACTGTACTGACTACACATGGTTTAGTGTCGGGCAAGATATTAAAGACTTTATTTAAACAAACTCAGTACCATGGATTTATGGGTATACCGTATGCTACTCCACCAGTCAAAGACCTAAGATTTATGGTAAATATTTTTTTAGACTTAAGCTTAACTCATTCATTTATTCTTGAACTAGCTGTCCCACGCGACACCATCCGCGAAGTATTAAAAAAAAGTAGCCTATGTTTTCTTCCAGACAGTGGCTTACATTTATGCCAAATTTCAACGAGATCTATGCAGCCGTTCTGGAGATACCTTCAAACAAACATCTATCCATCCATCGAAACATTCGCATTTATAATATTAGTAAGATTTTATTAATTTGCCTTTTTGTTTAGTAAATTTTTTTTTCCAAAAATTCGAAATTTAATTCTTTACTTTTAATTCTTTTTAGCCACCAAAAGACATTGAGCCTTGGAAGGATGTTTTAAAAGCCACAAAAGAAACACCACCCTGTTTACAATATAATTACAATGTGAAAAAAGTGCATACTATTGGACAAAGCGGTGTCGAAGATTGTCTTTACCTTGACATTTTCACACCAGCAGTTGATGATAATAAACGCGGAGTTGTTGTATTTCTGTATAATGAATACTTTCGATACTCATATAATAAAACAAAAGACTACGCACCTGATTTCTTCATCGAAGAAGACGTGGTTGTAGTCACAATAAGCCATCGGTTATCTGTACTTGGATTCTTATCCTTCCAAGATGATGTTTTGTCTGGTAATTCCGGATTAAAAGATTTAGTTATGGCACTGGAATGGATAAAAAAGAATATAGAACGTTTTGGAGGAGACCCAAATAAAATTACTTTAATGGGTTTTAAAGGAGGTGCTGCTGCAATAGACTTACTTCTTCATACGAAGGCAAAATATTTAATAAACGGAGCTATTTTACACAGTGGGACCTCCTTGACACCAGATATTTTGCAAGATGACGTTAGAGAAAGAGCATTCAAACTAGGTGAATTATTGGAAATCGGTACGACGAGTAGTAAGAAACTATTAAAATATTTCAATGATATTCCTCCAGAAAAGTTACTTTCAAAGGATTTTAGATCTCTACCTGATGACTACTACAAAGAAAATCAAAAACCCATTTTAGCTTTTGGACCAATAATCGAAGTGGATTCCGATGGTCTTGTTCTACATCGCCCAGAACGTTTGCATGACCCTATCAATATTCCTATAATGATTGGATCAAATTCCCGTGAAGGTTTAGACTCCGCAATTGATTACCTCGTTGAACCAAGACAAATGGTATATATCGAAAAAGATTTCCATTTCTTACTACCTTTACGGACAGAAACAAAATTTGATCCTCTTAAAGACGAATACTATAAGGCTATAGATGAAATCAAGAATTTCTATTTCAAAAAGGGTAAAGTGACGTTGAAAAGTGTTAGTGATTATGTCACTTATATAGGAGATGTACTGACATCTTATCCTGTTAACGTAATGGCGAGAAAGTACGCAAATAAAACGAAAAACCTGTACTATTATCACTTTGATTATTATAGCGAATTAAATGCCAACAAAAATAGTATTTTGGCGTTATCAAAAGTAACCGATGGTACCTGGGGGGCCACATCCGGCGACGAATTATGTTATCTGTTTAAATGTCCAAGTCTAAAGAATAAGTATTTGAAATTAAATAAATCATTATCTGAAGAAATAATATTTCAAAGGAAATTAATAAAATTATGGAGTAATTTTATTAAATATGGGTAAGTTGGTGATCATTTATATAGATTCTAATATTATCTTACTTCTTACTATCTTACTAATATTATAAATAGGAATATTTAGATGGCTGTTTGTTTGAAGGTATCTCCAGAAAGGATCTCGCTGAAACTTTGCACAAATGTAGAACGTAGTTTGAAAGAACACAAATTGAAGTGTTTTAACTCCGCGCCGTCGGTGTCGTGGGCGACAGCTAGTTGACAATAATTCCATTCAAAGATCACCTTTGGATACAAATATATGCTTGCGTCATTTAGTCGTTACTAAACAAATTCACATAAGAACCTACATGAACTTAGAAGCAAATGATTCGCTTCAGACCTGTTACAAATAAAAAATCTAAAATATCTGATATAAACAATGATCAATGAGAGTTATCAAATCTTTAAAGGAAACAAATTAGACGCGACTTCCTGGTAGTAAACAAATATTATCTTCTTGGATTTACGATATACCAATAATGTTATTAATTCGTTAGTTCATTGTCAAATTTCAAATAGTCCCCTTGTTTAAAGTAATCAATTCTTTCTATGTTTTTAGATCTCCTACACCAGCGCATAATAATCCATTGGAGAATTTAAAATGGCCGACGTATAATTTAGAAACAAAAGAATATCTTCACATCGGAAAAAATATAGAAGTACGACGTAATCTCTTTAAAGATAGATTTGAGTTCTGGGATAAATTCTTAACAAGATGGTCAAAAATATTGAGAAACTCAAGAGAAAAGGATGAATTATAATAAATAAATCATAAAATAATAGATTTTGTCTTTACTCATTCACGACTACCCTTTTCCTTTACCTTTACCTTTATAACAATTTTTAATATTTTTTTTGGAAGGGAGACATTTCTAAAAGTATGTATAATATTAAGATGGGGCAAATGTTAAATTAAGTTAATAAAACTCGATAAAAATAATATAAAAAGCAAGAGTAAAAGACAATTAAAGCGAGAAAGTCCATAAAATAAATAAAAAGATGAAAATATATAAATCTTCTATTTGTCTTCACTTTTGAATAGTCAAATGTAACCTGTTAATAATATTCTTTCGATTCTTCCCTTTTATTCAATTAATCAATCTAACATTTTGCGATATTGTGCATGTCGCCCTTTCTGTTTAAGATAGGCAACGCATATGCAATTACGGATGTCTATGTGCAGGTTCCGATTCGCTACTTCGGTGTATGTAAGTGGCCGCTTGCTCGTTTGACACCTTATAATATATAAAAAATATTCTACTACTTATAAATATAAAAGCAATAGCTTCTGTCCATTATATTGATACTGGAATGGACTCACTTCCTTAGAAATAGTTATCGTGATTACACTTCTAGTAAGAGTTATAAATTATCAAAGCATTAAAGATAAAGATATAAATGAAGCCAGAACGATTAAACAGTTTATCTTTAGGACACGTCAGTACTAAGGATTACAAGAATGTGTCAAATTAACAGTTAAATTAAATTATATCAAAACAAGCTTTATAGAGATTATGATGAATTTAATATTTGTTTTGTTTCTAAATTATTTTGCTATAACATGTGCTGATGTAATAGTAGAAACTAAGTTAGGTAAAGTGGCAGGTAAAAGAGTGGAATCAGTTTTACCAAATGAGAAATATTATTCATTCTTGGGTATACCCTATGCTGAACCACCAGTTGGTGAACTGAGATTCAAGGTAAGGTCGTTATTAACTTAAACACAGGATAAAGTCTATATATTAAATATTTTAATTTACATTTAAATTGTGATTATCTTTTATACTTCTTTTTTTATTTTGGTGACATTCGTAAAACGCTTTTATTATTGATTTCAAATTAGAGCGCACAAAAATATTATTTTTGACACTGTACTATCCGTTTTCACTTAATTAAAAAAAAACTCACGCTACTTTAAATAGAAAAAAGTGTTAGCGGTCGCTAGTCGCATTGAAATCGAAGTTATAATCTTTATTCTTGTTAAAACATGAAAAATACTTTATAAATGACAAATGACAGACGAACATAAATTACTTATAATATAATTATATACACTATCATCTTTAATTTTTTCAGTCTCCAAAACCTCGTCAAAGTTGGACTGGTGTTCTCGAAGCAAAAAAGGAGAGAAAAGCATGTCCACAATTTTACTTACCTGTCAGATCAACGAAAAAAATTGGCTTCTTCGGTGACGAAGATTGTTTATATCTCAGTGTTCACACGCCTAACGTTCCTGAGCCAAATCAAAATCTACCAACGATTGTATTTTTATACAATGAACAGTTTCGTATATCCTTCAATGGTACAAAAGATTATAACCCGGATTTTTTTATGAAAGAAAATGTTATTGTTGTAACTCTTCATCACAGAATAGGAGCATTGGGTTTCCTTTCATTTGGTGACGAAGTACTCCCAGGGAATTACGGTCTTCGGGATGTCTTATTAGCTCTAAAATGGATACAACAAAATATAAAAAGATTTGGTGGCGATCCATCGAAAGTAACGCTAATGGGCAGTCAAGGTGGCGGTGCAATCGCTGATTTACTATTACAATCTCCTAAAGCAGAAGGCTTATTCAGTGGTGTTATATTACAGAGTGGATCTTCATGGAACCCGTTATACTTAGATACGAATCCCAGTAAAAGGGCAAAAGGTCTCGGCGAAGCATTAGAAGAAATAGTCACAACAAGTTCCTATTTCTTAAAACGCTTAGCTGACTTCTCAGCACAAGCAATAGCGGAATCTGAACATTTATCTATACATGCAGACGAAGCACGATCTGTACAAAGAGGATTGGTTGCTTTTGGACCGAGTATTGAACCAGATCACCCGGAAGCGTTAGTCACTACTTTACCTGAAGAAGCAAATTTTAAAATAAATGTTCCCGTAATGATTGGTTATAATTCACGAGAGGCTATTGAAATAGGAGAGCGAATCTTGAACAAGCCGCAGTACCTGACATTTGCTGATAGAGATTTCCTTTTCATGTTACCTATAAGGGTTAAATTCCATTTTCAAATAAATGATAATGTATATTACGATGCTATTGAAAAAATTAAAGAATTTTACTTTGACGGAGGATATATAAAAATTAGTAAACCAGGAGAGTTTTTGTCTTATTTAAATGATATATCTGTATTTTACAATACTGATTATGCTGTTAGAAAGTATACGAATATTTCGAGTTTTCCAGTATATTATTATGTTTTTGACTACAGCGGAGAATTGAATATGAGGAAGAAGGCATCACTTCAAAATGCTGTCAATTTAGATGGGACATGGGGAGCATCAGCAGGGGACGAACTATGTTATTTATTTATGTGCAATCCTAGGAAGGTCTACAAAAAATTACTTGAAGACGAAGATTCAGAGGAAATTAAAGTTTTAACGAACATGGTTAAAATGTGGACAAACTTTGCTAAAACTGGGTAAATAATTTTATACTAACATAAATACAGATTTACTTAAATATCATCAGTTACAAAAAAAAATAGTCAAATACGAAAATTTTTGCAAAATATTAAGTAAGAAGACTGTTTTGTGTCTATACTTTTTTAACACGTTCTAATTTTACAGGAATCCAACACCACCAGGAAGTAACTTTACATGGAAACCAGCGACAAAAGATAATAGAGAATGTCTTGTTATAAGTGATGAACTTGAAATGAAGAGTAACATTAACGAAGATATTGTGAAATTCTGGGATGAATTTATATCAAACTACAGTGAAAAAGCTGTCGATAATATTATAAAAGACGAAGTGAAAGACGAATTGTAATAATATAGAATATTATAATTTTTAAACATAAATGTTTTTTATTTTACATAACATAAAATATACAATGAAATGGACAAGCAATAGACCAGAGATTGGTTAGATGTTGCTACAAATATCACGAGAAATACTATGAGAAAAATATTCTTAAGAAAAAAAAATCTTTCTACTTAAACAAAAATTTATGTTTCAATAAATAATTAATCAATGCCACAGAAGGAACTGTCCTTCGTGGATTGGCTTGATATGGGTTCTACGTTTTTTTTCTGACCTTGTTTAATTTTATCCTCTTTACGCCTCTTTAATATTAAAACAGTATTATGTTCAAAATATGCTTTTTTCATTTATGGAAGCTTAACTATTATTTTAGTCTCTAAAAAGCTATATTTGTTGAATTTATCAATTTTAATAGACTATTGCCAGTATAAAATAACTATATCCTGCAACCTATATATACATTTATTATTTTTAATCTATCGTGTTAAACATTTTTAGAGATCCTCTTTATTTTTTTCCACGTAATAAAATGATATGTAAAGTACGTAACTTAAGTTTTATTTTATTATACAATTTTTTAATATTTTTCATATATTCATGAACTAATAATAGGTAACAACGTGTTCAAATAGCATTTAAAATCTTATCAGTCTGCAATTGATAAAAACAATAAATACTCGATCTTATCTCTAACATTCTATCAAAAGTAAGCATGTGGTAAAACGAAATCTGTTCAATAATATTTAAAAGTTGTAAATGAATGAAAAAGAAAAACTAAATTTTACAAAAAGAAAATGAAGTTATTCATATTAATCTGTTTAATTACTTATTTTCAACAATCAAACACAAATGAAAATAATGTGAAAGTTAAAATTCCGCAAGGTGAACTGGCAGGAAAAATAGACAAAACGCTATTTAAAAACCTAAGCTACTATTCATTTAAAGGTATACCATACGCGTTACCACCAACAGGAGAATTAAGATTTAAGGTAGGCTTAATTTTTTTATCTTTTAATAAGATTTTATGTTTAAAATTATGTACATTTACACAATAACTTTGACAGGCACCGGTTAGACATGACAAATGGGACGGAGTCTATGAAGCATTCACCGAGAAACCAACTTGCTTACAATTTAGTTCTCGACAAAGAAATGGAGAATCCTTTGGCATATCAGGATCAGAAGATTGTCTCTACCTCAGTGTATTTACACCTAATCTTGAAGGTTCAGCTCCTGTAGTAGTATTCGATTACAATGATAATTTCAAAACTGGATTTAATGGAACAAAAACATATTCTCCGGACTTTTTTGTAGAAGAAGGTGTGATAGTTGTAACAATCAATCATCGTCTTGGATTATTTGGATATTTAACGACAGATGACGACGTTATCCCTGGTAATAATGGATTACGAGATTTTATTTTGGGTCTGAAGTGGATCCAGGATAATATTAAACAATTTGGAGGTGATCCTAATAGGGTAACACTTATGGGTAATAGAGGCGGAGCTGTATTAATTGATGCGCTTTTGTATTCTGCCAAAGCTAAAAATCTATTTAGCGCCGCAATCTTACAAAGTGGGACATCCATTGAACCCTTTTTATTTTATGACAAACCAAGAGAAGCGGCATTTGAACTCGGTGAGTTATGCGACATAAATGCAACAGACAGTTTTTCTTTATTGGAAGGATTGCAGAAAATTGATGCAGAAACTTTAATCACAAAGGATGTCAGCGTCTCAGACACAACCTTCGATTTGGCACAACTGGTTATTCAACCTTTTAGTCCAATTGTGGAGATGAACAATCCAGATGCTGTTTTAACATCATTGCCGGAGAATGGAGTTGTCGTTAATGATGTCCCCATCATAATTGGAATGAACTCCAGAGAAGGTCTAGATTTGGCATCACCTTATATATTTGAACCAAGATTACTTACGGAATATAGTCAAGATTTTTTCGTACATCTTCCAAAAAGGACTGGATTTCAATTCGATCGAAACAGTTCTGTATTTCAAGAAGCGGTAAAAGAAATACAAAACTTTTACTTCGAAGAAGGTTACTTATATTACAACAACATCCTAGAGTATGCAGTGTACGTTGGAGATGTTCTTCAAAATTACGCTTTGAATCTTGCGGCAGAAAAATTGAGTAAAGATCTCAAGTCATCAGTTTATTACTACGTTTTCGATTTCCGAGGATCATTAAACGAAAATATTGAATACATGTACCGACGTATCAGATTTCCGATAGAAAATTGGGGAGCCACAATAACTGACGAGTTGTGCTATTTGCATCTTTGTACCAGAATTAAAAACAATTATATTAAACTTCGTAAATTGTTAAGCGAACAACCCGATATGAAAGTATTGAAGAATATGGTGCGCTTGTGGACAAATTTTGCAAAACATCGGTAAGTGCTTGTTTTCAAAGAAACTAAACGGTAACTATAGTAGAACACTAGATGTCGCCCGCGACTCTGTCCCCGCGAAAATAAAAAAAAGTAGTCTATGAGTTCTTCCAGACTATTTTCTCTGTCAGTGTCTCTAAATTTGAGCGAGGTCCATGCAGCCGTACTGGAGATTCCTTCAAACAAACATCCATCTATCCATCCGTCCATCTAAACATTGGCATTTATATTATTACTAATTTAAGATGATTCATAGATTTAAGAGTTTATGTATTCATAGAAATAAGGTTGTGAAATTATATTTCCTATGTTATTTTGGTTTCCAATATTAAAACGTAGCTATTTAAGATTAATTTTACTTGTTTTAATTTTAATGACAAAAGGAACGATTTGTGACAATTGCATTGTCTTCGTCATCGTCAATTATATCAAAATTTGAATGGGATTTTTGTTGCACTTTACTAATACTCGGAAATGATAATACGATGGAGATTGTCACAAATATCAGACTCACTGTCCTAATTTCCTAGCTTATTTCGTGTTGAATATACGAAGAAAATCTAAATGTTATAACATAATAACATATTCGATTTTTCTTGCAAAACAAAATCTATTACTTACAATCTTTACTCGTTTTCAGAAACCCAACACCCGATGTCAGTGATGAATTACTTAAAAATTTCACATGGCAGCCACTCAGCAAAGAAAAGAACAACTACCTTCATATCAACAAAAAACTTCGAATGAAGGAAAATCCTATGGGTGAACGCGTTAAATTTTGGGATGATTTTATTGCTAAGTATTCCACAATGGCTATAAATGGTGTCGTAAAAGATAAGAATCACGATGAATTATGAAAAATAAATTAAATTGATTTTCTATTTTAAGACCTTACTTTATTATTTTTACCAAACATATCTCAACCTGTCTTTGACTAAAATTTCATTAAAAAAAAACATTTGATCTTCTTCATAAGATTTAAGTTATTTTCCGGCGTCTCATTAGTAAGTCTTATACAAAAAGAAGTAAAATAAAGCTTAGCTTGCTATTAATGAATTCGACATAGTCAGCTTTGGGCAAGGTCAAACATGCAGCGGAACCGGTCCATGCAACTAACAACCTTGTCATGCGACTTGCATCAATGCCCTTACGATCGTGACATCGATATCAAACATTGTATATAATACAAGTAACTGTAATACACTAGTACTTCTTACTAATATTATAAATGTGAATGTCTGGATGAATGGATGGATGTGTGTGTATTTGAAGGTATCTCCACAACGACCGAATGGATCTCGCTGAAATTTGGCATAGATAGACTGGAAGAACACATAGGCTACTAATTGATTTTTTTTCATTTCGCGTGGACGGAGTCGCGTCGACATACTCTTATTTAGTGGCACTCTTATATATTTGAATTCTATTTTAAATTAATTAAATAATTTACATTTTTTTCTTCAACCTACATATAAAAACCAAAACAAAAACTTAATGGTTACCTAATATTATCTGTAAGTTTTTGTTTGGTAAAAATATAACGAATCATTGGAAATAATCATCAGTGGAAGAACCATTAGCGGAAAATTATATACAAACTAGCCTATTATTTGCGACTCCGTTCGCGGGGGATGTGTCTATGTGTACAGGCTACTAATAAAAAACTTAATTAATGAATAATTTACCGATATCTTTCTATCTTTGATGATTATTTGATATGATTTATTATATTAACTTATTTCAGGTTATGTTCTACATCCATGCCAAATTTCAACATGATCTATAGAGCCGCTCTGTAAATATCTTCTAACATACACTCATCCATCTAAACTTTCACATTTATAATATTAGCAAGACTATATCCATTTTACATTTTTGTTACGACTATTACTCTAAGTACGGCAATTAGAATAAAAATGTAATATGAGTAGAAATAACGTATATTATAAACTTAACTCTTAAAACGAAGCTAAGGTAAATTAATGTAATCTTATTTCTTACTACATCTTACTAATATTATAAATGCGAATGTTTAGATGGATGGTCGATGTTGTTTGAAGGTATCGCCAGACGGGCTAAGCCGATCTCGATAAAGTTTGGCATACAAGTAGAACATAGTCTGGAAGAACAAATAGGCCACTAATTATGTTTTTTTTATTCCGCGCGGACAGAGTCGCGGGTGACAGCTAATGTCGTAATAATTTAAAAACCTATTACAGCATTAATCTATTAAGGTTTTGTTTCGATTTTAAATCATTTTTTTTTATAATTTGAAGCTTATCTTTCTCAAGGGATTTATTTTAATAGTTATTTTTTAAGTTATATTTAATAGCTTTGGACTTTTACCACTTATGGGACCTCTAGCAAGATTCTATCTATAAAATTTTTGTTTCATAAATGTGTTTTATACAGCATGTTACTTAAAAAAACTTATCGTAACATCTAAAAGACAAAAAATCCTTGGGCTTAGTTCCTTTTTACGTCAATTCCATGTGTACGGTATTAAAAGGCCAGCGACTTTTTAATAAAATTACAGTCGTACGCGGCTAGTCGCATGAATAAATGGGTATTAGGTTAAGACTGTATTATTAAAATAATG